ACAGTTGTTAATCATTTGTGTAATTTTTGGGGGTCCGACTAATTCCCCAAATGTACCCAAATGTACCCAAATGTACCCAAATATAGCCGGAATGAAGTCAAATAATGGTCCTAGATGAATAAATCGGACTAATAATCACTTCTCGACTAGTATTTAGTGTCAGAAAGTCACAAAAAATTGGAAAACTTACTTTAATCTGAGTTAATAGATCGAGTGCATGTACCTAACCTAACCTAACCTAACCTAACCTCACCTCGACTAGTATTTCGTGTCACGAAGTCACAAAAAATTGGTAAACTTAATTTAATCTGAGTTAATAGATCAAGTGCATGTACCTAACCTAACCTAACCTAACCTAACACAACACAACTCAGATTAAATTAAGTTTGCCAATTTTTTTTACTATGACACCAAATAATAATCGAGAAGTGATTCACAGCTCGAATTACGCTTGTACAACCATCATTTGACTTCATTGCGGCTACATTTGGGTACATTTGGGTAATTCCTCGCTCCCTCGGTACATGCACGCGATCTATTAACTCAGATTAAAGTAAGTTTTCCAATTTTTTGTGACTTTATGACACCAAATACTAGTCGAGAAGTGATTAGCAGTCTGATTTATTCATGTAGGACCATTATTTGACTTAATTGCGGCTATATTTGGCTACATTTGGGTACATTTGGGTAATTAGTCGGACCGATTTTTGGCACTCGTAACTCATGTCCTCAATCCAGACACTTACGGTAACACCATCTCCATCTTCTCATACCTTTATCACATAACTGATGTGTAACTTTAGCACTGTGTGGTGCACTTTGGGCAATACTACTTATAATTTTCTTGCCTTTCATCCTTATGGAACGAACAGTTGACTCATTCACTTCAAACATGCGGCCAACCGCTGACGCACCCATGCCACTATCAAGTTTATCTAACACTTAAATTTTCTGTGTCAGAGTCATGACTTTCTTCACCCTCTTTCCAGCAGATGCACTACCACCAATTACAGTAATGACCTTTTGGGAGCCATGACAGTTATAATTAATGTTAGAATTGCTCTCAGACGAGACTGGCGGGCAATGCAGTAGAACTCTCAAATGAGGCGATGCGGTAGAACTATCGGATGAGACTGGCTGGAGAGAACAGCTGCACAGGATGCAGCATAACACCATAACAGCACAACATGGCAGATGCCCCTGGTTTTTAAAATAAGTACCTTACCTTTTTATGTTATTTTAATAGAAAAAAAACCCTGAAGTTGTTTCGCAGATAGTCGAATTCGCGAGAGTTGAACTTGCATATGTTGAGGTGCTGGTATACAGTGACATTTGCTCCTGGAATTACTGTACTCAATTTATGGCATTATTAGAGTACACCATGAGTTTTTCAAGTGGCAATAATGAGGAGAATGTGTCAGGATACTGTTGTATGCATTAGAAACATGAAGAAAGCTAGAAGAGTTGTGGCAAAGCAGAAACGGAATGCAAGCAGAAGGTCATGATTGGTTATGATGAGTGTAACTGTTTTCATTATTACCTAATTCTGATAGTGTTTTTGACATCACCATGATTAAAGTTCAGAATACTGTACAGTCATGCTCCGGTTAACGTCCGATCGCATATACGTCCATGGCCCCCAAAAAAAACACGTGACGCCTGCTGGACCACCACTCCACGACCCCCTGACGGAGACACGATGATCCTCCCCATACTGGTCAGATATTGTGTGTTAAAGGAATAGGCTTCCTTACTTAGGCTTTTCTAAGCATTTGCCTACAGGTGAAATGTTAACCTACATCTATTAAGGATAAAATCTTTCACCTACAAATTGACAATAACACATTTGCTGTAATCAGAAATATCTAGTTGCCTCAACAATTGCAATTGGAGTCGCAATTTCAAAATCTGTGGCATTACTAAAAATAGTAAAGTTTCTGGTGCACTCTAAGATTAAGAGAGAAAACGGAGAACTCAGGCGTCCTGATGCGAGAGAAAACTGACTCGTATGATGGGGGACCAAATAAAAAAAACATAGCTACATGTATTGTGGACTACGGTACTAAGCGTACCCTTTTCATCACTTTGTAGTAAACCTAGCCATGCCTATGTGTGTTTATGATATTTACCATAACATTATATATATATATATATTTAGTGGGTATAAATGGTCGTAAAATGGGAAACTTGGGGTTGGGTTTTGGGTGCCTGGAACCAATTAGAATAAATCCCATAGGTTCTGTACTTTCGTTATCGGCGGGGTCCCAATTAGGCGCGATAACCAAGTAATGACCGTATATACTTGTGACACTGGCCAGTTGCTACTGGTGTTATGGTACAGGGGTACCAAGTGACAGCACTAGGATCCCGCTTCCTCTATCAAGGAATAAACAATTAAAATTTAAATTGAAAAAAAAAACATTCAAATAAATTACTATCTTACAAGAATCCCTCCAATGTAGGTTATATTCACCCAGGTAGTTTGGGTGGACAATTATGAGAAGAGCTTAGTCACTCTTAAGTAATGGTAAATAAACACGCAGGCAGGCCTTCAGCGCCAACTGTCAAATCTTATCTCATATAAATAAACAAACAAACGCGACATTCTGTCGCCTCACCTCCCCCCCCCCCCTACCCCTCGTGTTCAAGGCAAAAGATTGGTAATTTCTTTATGTTTATTTTATATCATATCTCAGACTAAAGTTACGATAATATAATTTGCATTGCTGAAATCCTTGCAAGACAGAGATTAATTTGAATATAAGCATCATATATTTTGCTCAAGATATAAAAAAATGTAGTACATTAGTGTACAGTACAGTACATTTTATAAAAAAGTTTTTCAACTGTATTTTTGGGTAGATTTACATAGATTTCTTAGTGCAAAGCTGGAGTTGCACATGTACTAATTTGATTATGGTACTAAAATTGTTTTGTCTAGTGCAAATAGCATGTTTATATTCAAATTAATCAGTATGTTACAAGAATCCCAGCTGTTAATTATATTCACCCAGGTCATTTCACTGGCTTTTTATAAGAGAGAAGCTTAGTCACCTAAGAACTGATAAATATACACGCTTAGACCTGGGCCTGTGCCAACTGTCAAACGTACTACCTCCCCTCCCCCCACGCCCCCTCGCACCCTCTCTCTCCCCCATCTGCCCAGCGTTGCTGGAATCCTTGTAAAACTGAATAATTTTAATATAAACGTCATGTATTTTGCACAAGAGATAAAAATTAATCACCTGTATCACATTACAGTAGTGATTTAAGAGTAAAAGTGTATATGTACGTATATAGTATTCCACATACACGTAAGTATAAATAAAAAGTTTGTGTGATGATCGGACAACGTCCATTTCGGTTAACGTCACATTTCCAAGAATGTATCTAGGACGTTAACCGGCGCATATTATGGAATTTTATATATTTTTCAGACATAGTGTACTCATAATGTATTACCCCAGACTTACAAAATAAGACAACAATGGCAAAATTTAATCAGTATTTGCGAGAGTTATGAACCTAAATAAGAAAACAAATTAAAATTAATTTTTCTCAAAACATTGTTTTCATAAGCTCGCCCTTGCTGCTCACAGCGCCTCATATGACACACTGGACCAAGAATTCTAAACAATTCTCACTTACGAAGGTGATTCCTGGTAATTTCTCTACATTAACAGTCTATGGTTATGCAAAAAAAAAAGATTGTTTATTGTACACTACAAGTAAAAATATTGTACTCAATTTTATTGGATCTTTTGATAGTATTGTATATAGGGAGAAATTTTTTGGAGAAAACACTTGATTCTTCAGGTGAAACATAATACAGTAATCCCTCAATAACTCAGAATTTAATATAACTTGCATGGATATGGTCTCGGAATGTCTTATAGTATAACTCAGGAAATGCCAAGATATATCAAATTATCTGGGAAAATCTTGGCATATCTGGCCACCTGCATCACCTACCATGCCTCTGTCACCTACCATGCATGTCACCTAGCATACCTCTGTGTAACCTACCATCCACCTGTGTCACCTACCATGATGCTTCACTCTTCGCCTGCAGTGGTGGCAAGTGTTACTTTTTTACATTTAGTAATTTCATGTACAGTACACATATATGGGTCAATAATTTTTTATTGTTGTATTTTTGTAGAAGGAGGGGGGGGGGGAGGAGTGCCTCTATAAGTCTGAATTTGGGATAATTCGGCAAGGCCACACTCCATATGTGACGAGTTATAAAGGATTTACTGTAACTGTACTATGAATTTTTTTAGCCTTTAAATGCTTGATATTATCATCTAATTACAGTATTCTTGGTGAAGATGTCTCAATAGACAATAATTCACAAACTATTTATCCACAACCCAAGATTTGAAATCACAATCACCTCGCGATCCAAATGACATCGTTACCTTCTTACCATCCTAGCAAATTGCCATAAATTTATATCACAATATTAATGAAAACATAAGAGAAAAAAATATACACAGTTGTTCAATTTCTTCATACTGTATTTTATTTTTTTCTGAATTAAGTTCAATCTTTTAAATGGGTGGATAAAAATTGCATCAGTTATATGCAAATTATCATAAAAAATTATACAGATTTTAATGACACAAATACTGAATACAGTACTGGTAATCTACAGCACTTGATGACAAGAATGATATACAGTATATTCTAATGCCTCTATCACAGTACTGTAAATATCTGGGTTACTTCAATCACAGTATTATAGTGGTGTTTATCATATGCTTCGTGTAGTACAGGTACCAGTTGCTGTGACAATATTATCACATATTAGAAACCTCTAGTCAACAGTTTAATGTTTACTAAAAACTTTCAAAGAATACTTAGTGAAATATGTAAGTAAGATGTTTTCTAGAAATTACTCTAATGAACAAATCAGTGTGTTCCCAATGAATTAAAATATCTGAAAGAAAAATTAATTCTCAAATACCAGATATTGGGAGGGTAGTTAAATATGCATCAACGGTTATTTTCTTATAATTAATCTTAGCACTAATATTCTGCACAAATTACATCAACTGGATAGGCTGGATCATGACAAAATGCATCCTACACCAAGTACAGTCAAAAGCACAAGAATTTAAAGGAGTAAATGATGATACAAGAAGAAGAACACTGCAGTGGTCCCATATAATGGCACACATAAAAAACATAAGAAAGTTTCGGACCAGATATTACTAACAAATGAGGCATAATGATAACTGTTTACTGGCAGGAGCACATACAATAAGTTGCATAATGGGAGTACAATAGGATCACCTAAGTTTTAACCCTCTCACATATGCAATAAGTTTTCAATTTTCCGTGACCACGACAAAAGTCACATAAGACCACTAACATGCAGTCTGGTCATCTTTGTTCTGCAGCCAATTTATCCAACAAGAATTTTCTTTTGCATGAATTATATATCATTAGCTTCATTATTGTTTTAGCTTTAACATATGCAGAAAAAATGACAATCAGATTATAATTTGTCATTCTGAATAAAGAAAAATAATTACAGTACTCGTACTGTATTTGTGTTCCCAATATCATACCTCAGATATCTTCTCTCAAACCTGCCAAAGTATTATCATAGTTATAGAAGTAGAATTTTATGAGCTTTCCAACGGTGGCTTTGGAACTTTGATTCGCCCTACCAGTATGACTGACAAGATGAAACTGATGAACAGCGGAACTCTACCCATACCACACTTTGGTACTTTCTGGAAGCTTCCTTCACAAGATCATGCAGTAATCTATAAAGCACAAAAATTTAAGGCAATTATCCTGTAATTTGTGTCACCAATGCAAAGAGTGCTACCCAATGATTTGACGCGATTTCCGTCATGATGCACAAGAGGGTAAAAGTAGCACATATGGCTAAAAAGGTCACTTAGACGGTAGAGGTAAAATACACAAACATCACTGAGCCGTAACATAGCAGATATAAGGAAGAGATGGAGCGCCAGAGAAGTCATGAGTAGTTCCACACACACACAGGTTGTTGAAGGTGGGTGGAGAGGGAGCATAGAGTAGTTCTGGTGGGAGTGAGTGAGGAGTACTAGTGTCCTCCAGAATAAGCTCAAAGGGGCCTGAATCATGGAAAAATTGTGAGCTACTGACGTCACATCTTGGAAACCCGATATTGATTGGCTGATAGGCGATGCCTTCTCTTGCCTGAAACTAGTAATGCAGGTGGAGAGAGGGAACTCTGTTAAATGCAAAATGTGCTAAAAGAAGTTATGGTACCAAAGGTGATGCCTATGTCAGCTTACAGCAATAAGAAATCAATCAATATTTTAAAATTTTGCCATTTTTGATGTTCATGACCATGACCTAGATTATCAAAGTCATCCTGTTGCTCAATTTTGTGGCATCCTTTCTAAATCCAATTACTGTATTATCCCATAAGGCTTACAGTATGTGTGCCAAATTTGATGCTTTCTTTTACTATGTAACAATTTTACCTATAATCTGCGCCATTAGAGGGGGAGTCGTGAGACGACAAGTAAGAGAGGAGGGTTGCTCCACATCCAGAGGAGACACAATAAGTACCAAAGATGCTGGGTTAGAGATAAATCTCAATATGAAGACCAGAAACCCTGGATTTAAGAAGTACCGGGTACAAGCTTTCATATTACATTTTTATTTTGTAAAATATGCAGCCTACTTACCATGTATTTTTCTTCACTATCCCCCTGTGAACTACCTACCATGATACTGTCAAAGAATGAATGAAAAAGTCTATTTTGTTAAAAGGTCCTGAAAATGGTTGCCTTCCAACCAGAACTGGAGAGTTGACTCTATTCATGTCTAAGGTGGGTCAACTCTCTACATGTTTTAGTTTTGTCGTACTGATTTCTTGTTTGTTTTTTAATAGTCTGGTACAGTTGCTATTTCATGCATATAAAAATGTATCAGGTAAAGTACTGTAACACGTGTAGGGAAAGAAATATTATCAATATAATTAAATTGCTCAAAAAGTTTAATAATCATCCCAACCAGCTGTTTCCTTTATTGCTGCATCATTCTGTTTTTTAGCGCGTCTGTACGCATTAGCTTCTCCTTTCACTCTCAAGTTTTTTTTAGATACTTGCTTTTTCTCTCTCCTCTCAAGATTCTTTTGCATACGGAATTTTATATCTCGAGGAGATATAGAGCTTGTGGTTGTAGAAAAACTCTTGACACTACAAATATCACTAACAGTCATATCAATGACATCATCCAACAAGGGTTTTTCATCTCCATTTTCTTCAACTTTTTGTCGAAGTTCACGTGCCTTTGCAAGTTGTTTTATAAGAGCCATCCTTGCTTCACGATCCAAATCCTTACCCTTCTTTTTGGAACACCTTTTAGCCATATTACCCTTCTCTTCATCATTCTCTTCTTGGTCTTCTAAAACTGCCTCTAATGACTGATCTTCGAAGTCCTCACAGAGATTTCCAATATTGGTTTCTTCCTTGAGATTTTCACACAATGTTTCTGTCTGGAGTTTCATTTCCCTAATAGTCTCTTCATTAGTAACTGCTGCTTCTTGTTCATCACTACATGTGCTATCGCTGTCCTCAGAATCTTGAGCATCTCGTTCATCTTTGAGTTCTTGATTGAATGCCTGAACATCTTTCAGGTACCCGCTGGCAGCAATTTCTTTGTCAAGACTGTATTCTCTCCTGTTCAAAAGATAAATATATATTTTTTTTTAAATATAGAATGTATACAATAAAGGAGAGTGAGATCAAGTTCCTCGGGACAGCAGGTGTCCACCATATTCAAGTCATAAATTATCACAAGCTGCACTCAAATGTACTAAGTTAATTCCTAGGTATTTTTTTATTTCTAGTGCAAACTATAGGATGTTTATACTCAAATTAATTGCTATCCTGCAAGAATTCCAGCAATGCAAGTTATATTCTGCCGAGTCAAGTCAGTGGTATTTTATAAGAGAAAAACTTAAACTCCCTGCCAGAAGGAGATACTGTAATGATTAAGAGGGTGAAGGTGATTTTAGGTTTAAAGTTTTCTCTTATAAAATGTCACAGACTTGACTGAGCAGAATATAAATTACATTCCTGGAATTCTTCCAAGATAGTGATTAATTTGAGTACAGTGATATCCCCGTTAGCCGGAACAATTGGTACAGAGCATGTCCGGGGATGAGAGATTTCTGACTAACCAGGCGACTTTCTTAAACCCTGAAAAATCCCCCATCAACGGAAATATTTCCGGTTATTGGAAATACTTTTCGAGTGTCTAAACACTGCATCTTGCACAGAAAAACACTAGCCCACATCCTCAGAATGTTTCTGTGTGCTGGCTTTCTTTCCAAAAGTCTAACTACTAGTCTGTAAAAGCACTTCTAATTAAGTTAGAAACTCCATTTGTTAACTAAAACAAGCCAGATTGCTGTAGTTTATCTTTAAGTTTGGTTACATAAATATGTTGAACAATTAAAAATATATAAGATATGGTCGTGAATGAAACTGGTATTTTCCACTCCCTTGGAGCTGTGGGGGAATAGTGGGTCTCGTGTAACTGACCTGACCTGACCTGACCTGACCTGACACAATGTCAGGTGGCGTTAGGGTGGGGGATTAGTGGTCTCATATTACTGACCTTCTGATAAAATGTCAGGCCACCCTTTGTTGGATGGGGGATTAGTGGGTCTCAGGACCTGAAGATATCTTGAATAAACATGAAAGCTAAAATACAGTACAGTATTTTTTTATACTTACACTTATCACAATGTATCCCTTCAACATTACATAACATTTTAAAATATGGAGTGAGAAAGCAGAAAGGTGAGGGTGATTAGAGAGATGGAGTGGAAATGAGTGGTAACATGCACCAGCGTTGCCAAGCACTAAGCTCCGCAACAGCTTATCTTTTAATTCACCACCACGCAGTTAACCATGCATAAATTTATGTCATACAATATGGGGGTGTGTGGGTGGTGGTGGGGTGTCTGGGTGTGATGTTGTGGTATTAAATAATAAATAAGAAATATTGCATCGTCAATGACAGTTGTTTGATGAATAGTAGCGTACTACATTTGTCACTACAATTCATCAAACGACTGTACTGCCATTACCAATACAATATTGTTTATTTATTATTCATTAATTAATACCCCAACACCACATCATACACACACACACACAACATCTAGTTCACAGTCTTCTGTGAGACACTGTGAGTTGCAGGGAGGCAGGGAGAAGACAAGGAGGCAAGGTACAGTCAGGGGGAAGGCAGGGAGGCAAGGTGCAGTCAGGGAGGAGGCAGGGAGGTTGGTACTCCCCTTTTCACCAATGATGAGCCTCTTATGATGTATGTTTTACCATAAATGAGTTAATATAAAATATTAAACACATTAGAAAAATTATGATGTATAATTATTAATTTGACATCAAAATTACATGACAAGCCAAATAATAAGGCATTTTTTTCACCCAGACCTCTCCACTGGGAGGAGGGTTGGTGGTGAGTAAGCTTAGCCATTAACAAATTAACCATTGTTTTTATTTAATCATTACAGTACTGATACATTATAAAAGTATTGTACTGTATTGTATATAAAGGGTACAGGTATTAATAAGCACAGATTATTATAGTAAACATATCTTTATTAATTAAAAAATAAAAAAAAAGGAAAAATTATTACAATGGGAATGGCAGGCATGGGGAGGAGTAGGAGACAACCTTTTTTGGGGTTATGAGGTCAGTTATCCCCATCCCCTCCTCAAACCTCCACCACCTTCTTACACCATATTGAATTTAATATTTTATCAATGAAAAAACATACACCATAAGAGGCTGATCATACGAGAATATATAATAATAAATGTTGGAAAGTGTGTGTTGTAGGTGTGTGTGTTGTAGTGGAAACTCTCCCCTACAACTGCCGATTGGTCACTTCCCATTCGCTTCCCAGCCAATCAGCGGCAAGTTACACAAATCAGCCCTCGCGTTCGAACTGCTCGGTGACTGGTCAGTTACCGCCTTCATATCAGCCAATAAGCAGCGTTTCTCATCTTTGCACTTCGATTTTTGATCCGGCAGAAAGATATAAATACCCCCCTGCCTTGCCGTGAGGGCAGACAACACCAAGCTCTTAAGCAGAGAAGACCTCCACTAACGAAGCTCCTCCACAGCAACTCCTCTACTACGCAACAACTTCCCAGCATCTGACTGCTCTGTACATATAACATATGTACTGTATATAGAAAATGCTATTGTGAGTTTCCTTTCTTACCTCCATCCTTAGTGCGAGATCTCCTATATGTGTATTGGCTTTAATCTATCATACACAACTCATAGCTCTTATGTTGTCGCTGATCTTATGTCTGACCACAACCCAATCCAAGCTAGTATACGTCTAGCCAATGACACCCTCACTGGCAGTAAACTCAACAGACGTAGACTCACAGTCAAGCAAGAACATGAAAGCCAGTTCATAAACTTCATCCATGACAGGTACAAGGATTACAAGCCTGACAACTACCAAAGTCTCCATGATGATCTGATAGATAGGACTGATACATACTGTACTTCACCAACAATGTCTCTACCAAAAAAACAGAAAAAACGTGGTCAGCATCATAGGAACAGGCAACAGCGGTGCTATGATGACCTCAAACTGAAAAAAACTCAGGGCTAGAGTCAGGAGGGTGGGTAAGGGTTACAAACAAATTAGAACACCTCAAATGCTAAAATTGTATCAAGCCTCCCTTGATGCCGCCAGGGAACGTGTAAACAAACTCAGACAAAATGCATGGGAGACATATGTCAATAGCCTGAACCAATGCACTCTCCTCAGCAAAGCCTGGATTGATATAAACACAAAAAGAGGTAAAAACAGTAGACACATCTCCCATCCAAACCCTCTGCAAAAGTCGAATGAGCTAATAATAAACTGGGCTCATGTCTCTAGCTATGACCTGTTACCAACTAGGACTCAAGAACTCCTTGATGCAAAATTTGTAGAGAGAAGTAATCTTATTAACTTTATGCTGGGCAAACAGCACGATGAGTGTGATGTTCCATATACTGTATCTGTAAAGTATTGTATACAGGTGCTCCCCTACTTACGACTGCTTCAACTTACATCCATCGGTACTTACGACCTGCTCTGACCTTACGACGGTCGGGACATACGACCGCGGCAGTCGTGACCAAAAATATTTTGATGTGACGTGCGCATTTTTTATACCGTAACGTTTCCGTCCCGGGCGAGAGCGTGGCGTGGCTGGGTCGCCACATGGGTAAACTCACTCAGTGGAGTGCTTAGTTGGTGTTTGGCTATCGTATCCTATACTGATCGCGCTGTGAACTTTCGTTATTATCGTATTTAATTGACTATAATGACTGGAAAGCGTAAAAGTGAGAGTGCTGGTGGTGCTCCAAAGAAAAGGAGACAGGCAATTACTTTTGAGATGAAAATGAAGATGATAATGCAGCATGAGAATGGAAAAACAGTAGCAACAACCTCACGCGACCTAGGTTTCTCGCACTCGACCATATCCACTATTCTGAAGGACAAGGAACGTATTCGTGATGTAGTGAAAGGAACAACACCTATAAAGGGAACTATAATTTCGAAGAAAAGACAAGGTCCTATTCATGATATGGAAAAATTATTGGTGATATGGATAGAAGACCAGATACAGAAGCGTGTACCCTTAAGCCTTCTAACCATACAGGCTAAAGCAAGAAGCCTGTTCCAAAGCCTAAAGGAGCAGGCAGGAGATGAATGTGATCAAACCTTTACAGGAAGTCATGGGTGGTTTGATAGATTTAAAATACTCTACAGTCTACACAATGTTAAGGCGAGTGGAGAGGCAGCTAGTGCCGATGTTGGTGCTGACGAAGCTTTTAAGGAGGAGTTAGATTATGTGATTGTGGAAGGGAATTATTTGCCTGAGCAAATATTCAATGTGGATGAGACTGGATTATTGTGGAAGCGCATGCCTGAGCGGACATACATCCACAAAGAGGCTAAAACAATGCTCGGATTCAAGGCATTCAAGGACAGAATTACACTTCTGTTGGGGGGGAATGTTGCTGGTTTCAAGCTAAAGCCCTTCATGATCTATCATTCAGAGAACCCCAGGGCTTTTAAACATGTCAGCAAGCACACACCGCCAGTGTTTTATCACAGTAATAAGAAAGCCTAGATGACCTTAGCACTGTTTGAGGATTGGTGTATGACTTGTTTCATTCCACGAGCCAAGGAGTATTGTCTGCAACAAGGGATTCCATTCAAGATTTTGCTGATTTTGGATAATGCTCCGGGACACCCACCACACCTGGACGACATGCACCTTGATGTTAAGGTAGTGTACATTCCACCTAACACTACCTCTGTCATCCAACCCATGGATCAAGGTGCTATTGCTGCCTTTAAAGCGTATTATTTACACACGACCTTCGCTCAGGCTGTTACTGCTACTGAAGGTGAGAAAACATTCAGAGAGTTTTGGAAGGAGTACATCGTTTTGTCATGTATAAAGAACATTAGTGCAGCATGGGATCAGGTTACAAAACATTGCATGAATGGAATATGGAAGAAAATCCTGAAAAAATATGTGAACAGTTTCAAAGGATTTAATGAAAATGAAGTTATTTCAGATAATAGTAACAAGTTAGTGGAGTTAGGTAAACAGCTGGAGTTAGA